TCGCCCCCAACCACTCTGCCTGCCTGCCTGATCGCCCCTAACCACTCTGCCTGCCTGTCTGATCGCCCCTAACCACTCGCCTGCCTGCCTGATCGCCCCTAACCACTCGCTTGCCTGCCTGATCGCCCCTAACCACTCGCTTGCCTGCCTGATCGCCCCGAACCACTCGCCTGCCTGCCTGATCGCCTCTAACCACTCGCCTGCCTGCCTGATCACCCCTAACCACTCGCCTGCCTGCCTGATCACCCCGAACCACCCGCCTGCCTGCCTGATCACCCCGATCCACCCGCCTGCCTGCCTGATCGCCTCTAACCACTCGCCTGCCTGCCTGATCGCCCCTAACCGCTCGCCTGCCTGCCTGATCACCCCGAACCACCCGCCTGCCTGCCTGATCGCCCCGAACCACCCGCCTGCCTGCCTGATCGCCTCTAACCACTCGCCTGCCTGCCTGATCGCCCCTAACCGCTCACCTGCCTGCCTGATCGCCCCGAACCACCCGCCTGCCTGCCTGATCACCCCTAACCGCTCGCCTGCCTGCCTGATCGCCCCTAACCACTCACCTGCCTGCCTGATCGGCCCGAACCACCCGCCTGCCTGCCTGATCGCCCCTAACCACTAGCCTGCCTGCCTGATCGCCCCGAACCACCCGCCTGCCTGCCTGATCGCCCGCAACCACTCATCTGCCTGCCTGATCACCCCGAACCACCCGCCTGCCTGCCTGATCGCCCCCAACCACTCATCTGCCTGCCTGATCACCCCGAACCACCCGCCTGCCTGCCTGATCACCCCGAACCACCCGCCTGCCTGCCTGATCGCCCCTAACCACTCGCCTGCCTGCCTGATCGCCCCGAACCACCCGCCTGCCTGCCTGATCGCCCCCAACCACTCGCCTGCCTGCCTGATCGCCCCCAACCACTCGCCTGCCTGCCTGATCGCCCCTAACCGCTCACCTGCCTGCCTGATCGCCCCTAACCGCTTGCCTGCCTGCCTGATCACCCCCAACCCCTCTGCCTGCCTGCCTGATCGCCCCTAACCACTCGCCTGCCGGCCTGACCGCCCCTAACCAGTCGCTTGCCTGCCTGATCGCCCCTAACCACTCGCCTGCCTGCCTGATCGCCCCTAACCACTCGCCTGCCTGCCTGATCGCCCCTAACCACTCGCCTGCCTGCCTGATCGCCCCCAACCACTCGCCTGCCTGCCTGATCGCCCCTAACCACTCGCCTGCCTGCCTGATCGCCCCCAACCACTCGCCTGCCTGCCTGATCGCCCCCAACCACTCGTCTGCCTGCCTGATCGCCCCCAACCACTCTGCCTGCCTGCCTGATCGCCCCTAACCACTCTGCCTGCCTGTCTGATCGCCCCTAACCACTCGCCTGCCTGCCTGATCGCCCCTAACCACTCGCTTGCCTGCCTGATCGCCCCTAACCACTCGCTTGCCTGCCTGATCGCCCCGAACCACTCGCCTGCCTGCCTGATCGCCTCTAACCACTCGCCTGCCTGCCTGATCACCCTAACCACTCGCCTGCCTGCCTGATCACCCCGAACCACCCGCCTGCCTGCCTGATCACCCCGAACCACCCGCCTGCCTGCCTGATCGCCTCTAACCACTCGCCTGCCTGCCTGATCGCCCCTAACCGCTCGCCTGCCTGCCTGATCACCCCGAACCACCCGCCTGCCTGCCTGATCACCCCGAACCACCCGCCTGCCTGCCTGATCGCCTCTAACCACTCGCCTGCCTGCCTGATCGCCCCTAACCGCTCACCTGCCTGCCTGATCGCCCCGAACCACCCGCCTGCCTGCCTGATCACCCCTAACCGCTCGCCTGCCTGCCTGATCGCCCCTAACCACTCACCTGCCTGCCTGATCGGCCCGAACCACCCGCCTGCCTGCCTGATCGCCCCTAACCACTAGCCTGCCTGCCTGATCGCCCCGAACCACCCGCCTGCCTGCCTGATCGCCCGCAACCACTCATCTGCCTGCCTGATCACCCCGAACCACCCGCCTGCCTGCCTGATCGCCCCCAACCACTCATCTGCCTGCCTGATCACCCCGAACCACCCGCCTGCCTGCCTGATCACCCCGAACCACCCGCCTGCCTGCCTGATCGCCCCTAACCACTCGCCTGCCTGCCTGATCGCCCCGAACCACCCGCCTGCCTGCCTGATCGCCCCCAACCGCTCACCTGCCTGCCTGATCGCCCCTAACCGCTTGCCTGCCTGCCTGATCACCCCAACCCCTCTGCCTGCCTGCCTGATCGCCCCTAACCACTCGCCTGCCTGCCTGATCGCCCCCAACCACCCGCCTGCCTGCTGATAGCCCCTAACTGCCTCTGCCTTGGCCCCTGCCATCGTGGCTTCATCCGGAAGGATGTCCGGAATGACATCCGGAAGGTCGTTCAGCTGTCCGGTCTAATTAGCGTTTTACGCTTTTATTATTATAGATTTTTATTGATTTCAGAGAGGAAGGGGAAGAGAAAGAAACATCCATGAGGAGAGAGAATCATTCATCAGCCGCCTCCTGCACGCCCCCAACTGGGGATCGAGCCCACAACCCGGGCCTGTGCCCTTGACCGGGATCGAACCCGGGACCCTTCAGTCCGCAGGCCGACGCTCCATCCACTGAGCCAAACCGGCTCAGACCGCCCTTCACACCTTAACATTTTACGCTCAAAAACGGCCATGCATTGAGTTTTTAAAATGTGCGAAGAACTTTAAAAGCGTCATTAATTGGCTAAACACCACTTTTGTTTGGCGGAACCAAGTCTCACGGTCTTTGCTTGGCAGACAAGCTGGCCTGGGCAACGAACACAGGAAGGGTTTTGACCGGCCAGTGTGGCTCAGTGGATAGAGCGCCGGCCTGCGGACTGAAGGGTCCCGGGTTCGATTCCCGGTCAAGGGCACAGGCCCGGGTTGCGGGCTCGATCCCCAGTGGGGGGCGTGCAGGAGGCAGCCGATCCGTGATTCTCTCTCATCATGGATGTTTCTCTCTCCCTCTCCCTTGTTCTCTGAAATCAATCAAAATATATTTTTTAAAATAAATTAAAAAGTCATAAACCAGGCAGGGTTTTCCGGACGGACCCTAAGCAAGCCCCTCTCTGCAGGCACAGGTTTGCGGGGAGGGCACGGGGAAGCCGGCCATGGGGGGACCCGCCGCCCCCCAATTTCAGCCTTTCTTGTCTGTCACGGCCCCGTAAGTGGCATCTGACTGATGAGGGTGGTTTGTCAACGTCCGAGCCTGGCATTTAAACGATGATTTACGGGCGGATTCGTAATTCGTGGCTTTCCGTGGGAAAGTATTAATCCTGGTAGCTGGGGGGGATTTACGGCGGCGAGCGGGGGCTGTCCTGGGCGAACAGTTTCACAAATGACCTAATGCTGGATAAACAGCCCCACCCCCCAGCGCCCAGCGCCCACTGCCCAGCGCCCAGCGCCGTCTCATTGGTCAAAGCAACACCTTTCACAGCCACAGCAAAGCCCAGGACCTCGGTCTCAGATGTCAGCCTGGCAGCTGGGGACACTGTGAGCACGTGGCCCAAACCACAGGGCTCAGTCCCACTGGGGGTTGAACCCGGAAGCCGGGCCTGTGCCCTGACCGGGAATCGAACCCAGGACCTCCTGGTTCATAGGTCGACGCTCATCCACGGAGCCATGCCAGCCAGGTGAGGTGTCTTTTAAATGGGTGCTCACCTCCATCGGGGTTGGGTGTGATACCCACTAAAGGACCCAGAAATTTGGCTCAGTGGATAGAGCGTCCGCCTGCGGACTCAGGGTCCCGGGTTCGAGTCCGGTCAAGGGCACGGACGTCGGTTGCAGGCTCCTCCCAGGCCTGGGCCCTGGTCGGGGCCGTGTGTGCAGGAGGAAACCCATCGATGTGTTGCTCTCACATCGATGTTTCTCTCTGTCTTTCTTTTCTTTCCATTTTTTAAAATATATTTTTTATTGATCTCAGAGAGGAAGGGAGAGGGAGAGAGAGATCCATCCATGATGAGAGAGAATCATGGATCGGCCGCCTCCCGCACGCCCCCCACTGGGATCAAGCCTGCAACCCGGGCATGTGCCCTTGACCAGGATTCGAACCCGGGACCCTTCAGTCTGCAGGCCGACGTTCTATCCACTGAGCCACACCAGCCAGGGCTCTCTCTGTCTTTCCCTCTCTCTTCCTCGCTCTCTAAAAATCAATCAGAAAATATCCTGGGGTGGGAATTAACAACAACAATAATAATAATAATAATAATAATAATAATAAAAGACCCGGAAACTGAGTCGGGGGAGCCCTGGGCATCTTCATCGGTCTGTTTGGGGCCTTTGGTCTCCCCGACATTCTCCAGAGACAGCGCAGCCGTTCATTCACGTCCTGATCCCCTCACCTTTTCCCAACCTCCCCAACGTCCCTTTGAAAGTCAGGGTGTGGCTCAGTGGATAGAGCGTAGGCCTGCGGACGGAAGGGTCCCGGGTTCGATTCCCGGTCAAGGGCACAGGCCCGGGGTGCCGGCTCGATCCCCAGCGGGGGGCGTGCAGGAGGCGGCCGATGCGTGATTCTCTCTCATCGTGGATGTCTCTCTCTCTCTCTCTCTCTCTCTCTCTCTCTCTCTCTCCCTCCCTCTCTGAAGTCAATACAAATATTTTTTAAAAAAGAAAAATGTTGTGACTCATCGGCCGGGATGGTACATGTTACGGGTGAAAAAAATGGGACTCGGGAGAGAGCAGGAACTCGGCACCGTCAACCCACAGATAACGGCGCCCGAAACGGGCGGCACCCCAAGTGCGCGGGACGTGACAGGCCCCTGGCTCCGTCCCCCGGACGGACGGACGGACGGACAAACAGGCAGCCGACGCCCCGGGACGCGGGGGACACGCTGCAGGCTGAGCCGAGCGAGGCAGAGAGAAGCCGGCAGGTCAAGGCCGATCCAAGCGGGAGGCGGGGGACAGGGACGGGGCCCCCACAACCTGTCTGCTCCCCGCCCCCGCCCTGTGCAAAGGAGAGAAAGATGCTCAACTCACCTCCCGCTCAGAGCCTCCTGCCAGCAACGCCCGCTGCCCGGGGGCCCGGCCGGCGTCCCCCCCAAACGTCCGGGCCTCGGCCAACAGCCAGACGCCCCGCTCCCGCCTGGGCAGCCGTGGGTGTGAGGGTCCATGGGGAACCGCGAGGCCCCTCGGCCAGCCTGTCACCTGGGGGCCATGTGACCCCGCCTGTCAGCTGACCTGCCTTCCCGGACTCCCCCTCCCGTCCATGACACCTGAGATGCCTGCCCCCCGCCCCCCCCCAATCCTGTGCAGACGCGGGAGCTCCCCTGTGCCCGGGGCACGCATTCCTGCTGCACAGGCCGGGACAGGACGGATCCTGGCGCTGCCTCCCGGGCAGGAGACAGGCTCCACGCCCAGCTACTCAGAAACGAGGAGGGAGCCGGCCGGCGCGGCTCAGGGCTTGAGCGTCGACCTACGAAGCAGGAGGTCAGGGTTCGGTTCCCGGTCAGGGCACAGGTCCGGGTTGCAGGCTCGGCCCCTGGCAGGGGGCGTGCAGGGGGCAGCCGGTGCATGATTCTCTCTCATCGTTAATATTTCTCCTCTCTCTCTCCCTTCCTCTCTGAAACGTCTTGCTTTTTAAAAATCTATACCAATAAAAGGCTAATATGCTAATTAGACCGCACATCTTCCGGACATCCTTCCGGACAAAGCCACGGTGGCAGGGACCTAGGCAGAGGCAGTTAGGGTAAGATCAGGCCGGCAGGGGAGGGCAGTTAGGGGCGATCAGGCTGGCAGGGGAGAGCAGTTAGGGGTGACCAGGCCGGCAGGGGAGAGCAGTTAGGGCAATGAGGCCAGCGGGGGAGGGCAGTTAGGGGCGATCAGGCCGGCGGGGGAGGGCAGTTAGGGGCGATCAGGCCGGCGGGGGAGGGCAGTTAGGGGCGATCAGGCCGGCAGGGGAGGGCAGTTAGGGGCTATCAGGCTGGCAGGGGAGAGCAGTTAGGGGTGACCAGGCCGGCAGGGGAGAGCAGTTAGGGCAATGAGGCCAGCGGGGGAGGGCAGTTAGGGTAAGATTAGGCCAGCAGGGGAGGGCAGTTAGGGGCGATCAGGCCAGCAGGGGAGAGCAGTTAGGGGCGATCAGGCTGGCAGGGGAGGGCACTTCGGGGCGACATCCCCCAAGGGGTCCTGGATTGGAGAGGGTGCAGGCCGGGCTGAGGGACGCCCCCCCCCCACCCCCCACCTCCGCACGAATTTCGTGCCCCAGGCCTCCAGTACATATATATTTTTCAAAAGGCAGAAACAAAGCAAACGTCCACCAGCAGAAGAACAGACAAGCACACGGGGGTCCGTGTCCACCGTGGAATAGTACGCAGCCAGGAAAAAGGTGCCGCTGGGACACACGGGACAACGTGGCTGGTCCCTGAGCCCGTGATGGTGAGTGGAGGCAGCCAGACACAAAAGGCCACACCCTGTGTGATTCCACTTACTTTCTATTTATTTTAAAACATTTTTTTTTTTATTGATTTCAGAGAGGAAGGGGGAGAGAGAGAGAGAGAGAGAGAGAGAGAAACATCCATGATGAGAGAGAATCACACATCGGCTGCCTCCTGCACGCCCCCGACGGGATGGAGCCCCCAACCCAGGCGTGTGCCCTTGACCGGGAATCGAACCCGGGACCCTTCCGTCCGCAGGCCGACGCTCTATCCACTGAGCCACACCGGCCAGGGCAGGCACGACTTTCTAATTCTATTTCGGGGGGGCGATGAAAACATTGTAGAACTAGAGAGACAGCGGTTGGACGAGGTGGATGAATGTACTACGAAATGTCTCCGCGTGGTACAGACTACAATTTATTTTTGGGGGAACTGATTTTCCAGGTTGTTTTCAGAGAGACGGGGAGAGACCAACGGTACGTACGTACGTGCAAACACTGCAGAATCGGAGCAGAAGGCAAACATGACTGTCTCCAGGCACGGGGCGCCTCCCCCCGCCGGCACCCAGAGCTGCGGGTCACGCCCGCCAGACTCACAAAACACGTTCGCCCTGTCTGCAAGGCAACGAGGCGACGGGTCCCGGGGCCCGAGCCCCCGGACACCCCTTTGTGCGCCCCGGCGAGGTGGGACGCAGCTCCATTCCCTCCCTGCCACCCCGAGCCTGTGACTCACGCACCCTCCGGGCCCCGGCCGGCCCCGGGGACACCAGGCCACCCCCCGGGTGAGCGCGTCCCTCCCCGAGACGAACCCGCGATGACACGTTCCTCAAACCCGTTCGCATCCCGGCCCACGGGGAGTGAGTCCGGCTCCTGACATGTCAGTCATCTCCCGTGGCCTGGAATGCCCGCGGAGGCGGTGCACACCCCTGGGCACGCGTCACCGGCCCGCAGGACACGGCAGCGGGCGGAAGAGGTTTCGTTTTTTTTTTATTAATCCTCACCCGAGGATATTTTCCCGTGGATTTTAGGGAGAGTGGAAGGGAGAGGGAGAGACAGAGAGAGACACGGATGTGAGAGAGACGCATCGATGGGTTGCCTCCTGCACGCGCCCCGACCACGGCCCCTGACCGGGAATCGAACCCGGATCCTTCGGTCCACAGGCTGGTGCTCTATCCACTGAGCCACACGGGCCGGCGTCAGAAAAGTTCCTAACAGTGTCAGTCTCCAAATTAGAGACGCCTGCCTAGTGGATGGAGGGTCCCGGGTTCGATTCCCGGTCAAGGGCACAGGCCCGGGTTGTGGGGTCCATCCCCAGCCAGGGGCGTGCGGGAGGCAGCTGATCTGTGATTCTCTCTCATCATGGATGTTTCTCTCTCCCTTCCTCCCTCTCCCTTCCTCTCTGAAATCAATAAAAAATAAAAATAAAAAACCTCTAAAAAAAGACATGATAGGCTTGGCCCAGCCAGGGTGGGTCAGCGGTTGAACATCGACTATGAACCAGGAGGTCAGGGTTCGATTCCCGGTCAGGGCACATGCCCCTGGGGGGGGGGGGGGTGTGCAGGAGGCGGCCGATCCCATGATTCTCTCTCATCGCGGATGTTTCTCTTGCTCTCCCTCTCCCTTCCTCTCTGAAATCAATCCTAATATATAAAAAGCCGGCGGCCGTCATGACCGAAACAAGAAGGACAACCGAACAGCAGGCTGTGTGGGACGACCAGGCCATCGGGCAGGGGGGAGAGGGTGGGGGAGCAGTGAGGGGCGATCAGGCCGGCAGGGGAGGGCAGTGAGGGGCGATCAGGCCAGCAGGGAGGGCAGTTAGGGGCAATCAGGCCGGCAGGTAGGGCAGTTAGGGGCAATCAGGCCGGCAGGGAGGGCAGTTAGGGGCGATCAGGCCGGCAGGGAGGGCAGTTAGGGGCGATCAGGTCAGCAAGGAGGGCAGTTAGGGGCGATCAGGCCGGCAGGGAGGGCAGTGAGGGGCGATCAGGCCAGCAGGGAGGGCAGTGAGGGGCGATCAGGCCGGCAGGGAGGGCAGTGAGGGGCGATTAGGCTGACAGGAGGGGGCAGTTAGGGGCAATCAGGCCGGCGGGGGAGGGCAGTTAGGGGCGATCAGGCCGGCGGGGGAGGGCAGTGAGGGGCGATCAGGCCAGCAGGGAGGGCAGTTAGGGGCAATCAGGCCGGCAGGTGGGGCAGTTAGGGGCAATCAGGCCGGCAGGGAGGGCAGTTAGGGGCGATCAGGCCGGCAGGGAGGGCAGTTAGGGGCGATCAGGTCAGCAAGGAGGGCAGTTAGGGGCGATCAGGCCGGCAGGGAGGGCAGTGAGGGGCGATCAGGCCAGCAGGGAGGGCAGTGAGGGGCGATCAGGCCGGCAGGGAGGGCAGTGAGGGGCGATTAGGCTGACAGGAGGGGGCAGTTAGGGGCGATCAGGCCGGCAGGGGAGGGCAGTTAGGGGCGATCAGGCCGGTGGGGGGTGGGGCGCAGTGAGGGGCGATCAGGGTGGCAGGGGGGAGAGGGGGCAGTGTGACCTGGATGGAACTGTGACCTCCTGGTTCCTAGGCCGACGCCCCACCATGGAGCCACGCCGGCCTGGCCATGTTACTCACGTTTAAATGCTTGTCAAGAGCCGTGGCTGTCACCCGGGGTGACCCTGCCCCGGCCGGGGAGACATCCGGACAATGCCGGCTGTCACGTCTGAGGTCACCGTCGGGCGGGGGCCCGGGCACGTCCCACTGCGCGCTGGAGGATGCGGCTACACATCCTACTATGCGCAAGGCCCCTCCCACCTCGAGGGATTCCCCAGCTCCAAGCAGCAACTGTGTGCACTCTGAGAGATCATGGCCTCGCAGACACCAGGCTCACCTAAGTTCCTCTCTTCTGCACCGAAATGGACCGGGGTGGGGGGGAGGGGAGGGCTCTTGTTTGAGTGTCGGAGCCGGATGTACGGGGGTGGCAGTGGCTAATGAAGTTACATAGGTCTCAGGAGGACAAATCCATCATCCATCATCTGTCAACTGTATCTGCAAACCCATCATCCATCATCTGCCAACTGTATCTGCGATCACCTCCCCAAGTCCAATCCCCTCCCATCACCACTGATGCCGCCTTTACCCTCTCCCGCCCACCCCCACCCCCTTTCTCTGTCCTTATCACCAGCCTGTTGTCTGGGTCTCTGAGTCTTTCCTGTGTGTTTTTTTCCCTCCTCACCTGTTGCATTTTCTTAAAATATATGTTTTTTATTGATTTTCAGAGAGAGGAGGGGAGAGGGAGAGAGAGAGACACATCCATGACGAGAGAGAGGCAGGGATCGGCCGCCTCCTGCAGGCCCCCGACTGGGGATCGAGCTGTAAACAATTACTGGGGGCCCTTGGGTTGTGACCTCGAACTCACACCAGCTCGGGCCACGTGTCGCTGCCAAGCAAGCGACCCCCAAAACCGAGGTCCCCATCTTTCTCTTTTCTGCTCGGCTCTGGACAAAGGGCTGTCTGTCCGTCGAAGACGTGAGGCCCTGGCAAGCCCATCGTCGCCGACGGGGACGTTGGCCGAGTCACCTGACCTTAGATAACCTCGCGTCTCGCCACACGGACGGGGGTGGCCGAGCAGGCCCCAGGGAACCCTCACCCAGGGAGCCAGGTCCCTCAAGCCGGGCCCCTAAGTCCCTGCTTCTAAACGGGTGGGGGGTGGGGTGTGTGGGGGAGGGGGTGGTTTTCCCTCCAGGAATCATCTGGAGACCATTTTGAAAAAAAATAATGTTTCTTTGTTAATATTATTTCTTTGATATTATTGTTTTTTCCATTGATTTTTA